AGAGATTGGCATAAGTTATATGCAACATGAAATATGAATATAGATCATATAAAATATGAATAGAATCTAATATTACAGCGAACAATACTTGAATGAGAGACACATAATCATTAGATAATAATTGATATAACTGACGATTCATGCACCATAAACGTAATGACATGATGTAACAATCTGTTTTAACTTTTATACCTTACTTGTTTATCTGCCATCGTAAGCATTTCGACAAGATATTCACATTTATAATAAATTTGGATTTTATATATATATATATTTTAAATGAAATAAATTAATTCTTTAAGGGAATATTAATCTCTTAATTATTTAAATTACAGATCGTACATTAGAAAATAGCAATGAAACACACTACATGATCTCGAATGATATTATTCTTTCGAAAAAATCAATACGAAGAATTAGGATATACGTAATAATGTAAATACTAAAATAATATTACAAGGAAAATGTAAAACATTAATTTGCAATTTTTTAAATCGAGATGTTAAAGCATAGGATAAAATACAAGTAAATTAAAAAAGGCAAATGATAAGAAATAAAAAGAATAGATGTTATAATTACTCACGTTGGGATCTTCTCTAATGGTATCCATTGAGATTGACGGCGGATTTGACATTCCAGATGATACATTGCGCAGCATGGACTCATTGTTTGTATTCGAATCATGAAAAGAAACTCTTTTTATAGATGCTGACTGTTGAGAAGTGTGAGGTAGATTAGATGTGGTCGAGCCGTTTGATCTGAGAGCACTCTGCTGTGACATAATGGCGTAACTAGAACCTCGTTCTGGTGGTGGGGGTGCATCGTTTACATTGTTTTGCGAAGCTATAATAAATACCATAAATACTACATAAATCGAATTATGTAATCATGTAATTATCTAAAACATATAATTAAAATATATTTGTAAATCTTTTGTTGATAAGAAATATATTTTGAGACAATTTCTCTTTAAAAAAATATAAGAATACAAAAGACTCGAAGTTCAATATTCAATAAAAATTTTTAAACAGCTGCAATTTACTAACATGTAGATATGTTAGGACCATTAATAATCAAATTGTCTAAGCGCAACATGCCAGGGTGTAGCTGGCTCCGCGGATGTTGATTCGATTGATATGTTTGCTGCTGCTGTTCTTCTTGTTTTTTCTGGTTCTCCTCATATCCAACCTGTTTCCGCTTCACTTCATCTATTTTCCATTGCAATTCCCTATCTTCTACAGAGTGCGACATACCCATGGAATAAGACTTCTGACCAGAACTGAAATGGCTGTGTGTGCCATAATTAGCTGACGATATATGCTCTTCATTCTGACTCGCCGTTTGTTGTTGCTGCTGATTTGATTGTACATGCAAATCATTATTTTCTTGACCAGGACTGCTCATTTCGACATTTTGAGGTGCTGTTTGATTGGGCAGAATGTGAACGTGACTGCTGGTGACAGATTGGTTGCTCAGGAGAGGTAAACCACCTCTCATAGACTGATTGCCTGTAATTGTTCTCGATAAAGTCGATGGCTGCAGAACTCCTTGGACTGCTCTGTCTTGACTGGCTGCCATTCTTAGCAAGCCCTGAACGCGTTGCACACTCTCGTTGTCTAAATCATTGCTCTCCTCATCATCGTCTTGATTGGCAATCTCTTCCGCACGCTTCTGAAAATCTCTTTCCAGTTGAAGAGCTCGCAGTTGCTCCTCCTGCTGCTGAGTTCGATGTGTCAGCGCGCTTAGTTCAGCAATCTGCTGATCTCGCCATTGACGAGCGGCTTCTCTTCTACGAGCTTGTTCCTAAAAATACCAATATCCATATCAAATACATGTTCTTAAAGAGAAATATAATAAAATTGCAAATTCCAGAAAATTTGTTTTTAAAACTCTTAACACAACAATTATCGGAAGAACAAAAACTTCAAAAAATATAAAAAAATGAATCTAAATTAAAAATTATCATTCTAACGAGACTTATCACTCTCATTTCATTATTCTTTTATTAATTACCTTCTCTCTTTCTTCGCGTTGCCAAGGATTCGTCGCGCTATATTGATATTGACGCGGTTGCTGCATGGCACTGATTCCTCCCACAGGGTAATAACTACCTCGTGGTGGATCCTGCATGCTTGCGGTATATCTACAAAGTTTTCTTTCGTTATTTAAGACTTCTTTCATCAACTTCTGATTAAATTAATCGACGATCAACTCGCAGAAATATCAATAGCAATTTAATGTATCAGAACATTTCTCCTCTCTCTTCCTCTTCTAATATAAACTGTGTTTAGTTCTCACGTGATGCAATCGTGATGAGTGATCATCACGATTAGATCAGTGTTAACCGAAGTTGGTGGAAGAAACTTTAAGATCATATTAATAGCCATGGCACACAAAAAATTTAAGGCAGTAAGATATAAGCAATAAGGAAATCAACATGTTAAATTGATTACTGCTTACGTTATGGATTTTACTGTGATTGATCAATTTGCTTACTGCTTAAGTTTTTTTGTCGGGATGCTCGCCTTGCTGACGGAAGAGCTCCAATAAATCCTGAGAAATGCCATTTATTCTTGTCCAGTCCGATGTATGCATATCCTCGTTTTCTGGATAACGCTAAGACATACAAAGGCGAAAAGGCGAATTCTTGACGCCTTAAAATTGGGACTGATCATCTAAAGGAGACAACCTCGACAGAAAAATATCAGTACATCAGGATCGCTGGCAGTAAGCAATGGAAAAAACATATTTGGGAGAAACAACTCCAGATGGCACTGAAAAATCTACTCTCTATGGAGGCAGGTCTTATGTATTCTGGGGAGGGCCAACTATTGTTTGCTGATATTCCTTTAAAAAAAAAACGCCAAGACACCGAGACCATCAAAAAAAGTAGAAATCCCCTAATGATAGGATTCAAAACTGCAAAATTTCAAGAAAAATTTGTCTTAATATCGTATAAAATTTAATCAGAACTCGTTCTCACTCTTTTAACGGAAGAAAATCTCTCAAGTCATGTAAAAGCCACCAACATTGATTTTACTTTTATTAAAACACAAAAAAAAATCACTCCGGTGAGGAACAGCGGGTCTCATAGGTTCAAGTTAAGACTTAGAGACAATCCTACGCAAACAAAGATTATAAGCAAACCAAAATAGACACATACTGGTTGGACGATCCAACAAGTTCCAACATCAAATCATTTTCAAAATCTTGATAACGAAAAACATACTATGGAAACTGTTTCTATCCAATCGGAGAAACAAATCAAACTTCCTCCAATCTTCGTAGACGGCATTAGTGATTAAGCATTCAACTACTTATTAAACTTCTGAATAAAATCATTTCCCAGGTTATATTATCAAAGTCACACATCAAGTAAAAAAAAATCCAATCCAAGTCTACAAAAACCTATATTATGATAATTAAAGAACTTAAATAACGCGATACCGAGTTTTATACATATAAACCAAAACATGAACGTACTAATTTCAGAGTAGTTCTCAAGAACATATATCCGTCAATAAATCTTGTAAAAATTAAAGAGGCTATTGAGTAACTAGACCATATCAAAAACATTAAATAAAAGGTATCCAAGAAATCCTCACCGATTTTTCATTGACTTAAAATCTGACACAAATAATAAAGAAATATACAAAATTCAGTGCACCTGCTGCAGTGTCGAGTGGTATTTGAAGCATCCCTACCCAGAAGGAAAATACCGCAGTGCGCAAACTGCCAACAATACGGTTTACACAAATTTTGCCGCAGGTTAAGATGTGTAAAGTGCGCAGGAGAACATCAAACTAGAAACTGTCTAAGAAAGGAGAGATCAGACAGTATTAATTGTATTCTATGCAATGATAACTACCGCGACTACAAGGACTGCACTGTCTACAAACAACTCCAAAAAAGCAAAATTATAAACCTTAGACCGAAAATAATTCCTCCTCCACCTCTGACCACCTCTGATCTGCGCGGACTCTGACAATAAGTAAAGATGTGTCTACAAAGGCAACTTATTCTCAGATAGTGCAGCAACCATCTACTCAAGAATTCTTGGATAGCGACGACATTAAACAATTACAGTGTTCAGATAAAAATTACAATGTACTCATCGAAATGCTAACACAATTGATGCAGCAAATAACAAATGTGTCAAAAACATTGAACAATCTTATAGCCAAAATGCTTTCAATAAATTAAATATTGCAGAATGAAATGTCAATGGTTTACCACAACATTCAGATGAATTAAAAATATTTCTAAAAACAAACATATAACATTGACATTATATGTTGATATCAAAAATACATAGAAGCTTCATGAAAATAGTTTAATGAGTTTAAATTATAGTTTATAATAAAGTTTATATTACTACATCAACCATCCCGACGAGTCAGCCCATGGAAATCCTCATTAGAGAAAATATAAAACATCATGAAACTAATTATTTCCGTGCGAACTCTCTCTAGGCTACTAATATCGTGATCGAAGACTGGTCAGATCCCATAATCCTTTCGGCCGTATATTGCTCACCTAAGCACTCGATAAAAAAGAATAATTCATAAAATTCTTTACTAGCCTGAGGCACCGTTTCAGAAGCCGCGGCAGGAGATTAAGTGGACTAAGAATGTCGACTGGGACACTCTAAACTCACTTTACCCAAAGGTCGTGAACTAATGCAAGTTATTGCAATCTGCACATGTATGCAATTACAACCAGAGAACCAACTTACTGACCAACATCTGATTCAAGTAATACTCGATCTTATCGACTTAGATATTGCAAAAGATATATCAAAACTTTAAAATACAAATCGTGCTTGGAACTATTATCAAACTACTCTCCAGTCCTAATTACTTTTAATAATCAGATTGTAGTTTCCGAAAAACCGTTAAGATTACATAAGTAAAATTAATTGGAATAGTTTCCGTGAAACTGTTAAGTCCGCTTTTAATGTCAACATAGAACGAACGACATTACGGAGGCTGTTGAACACTTTAATAATTGTGTCCAACAAACAGTGTGGAAATTAACACCATTAAAGACAGTGTTCGCCTGTGCCTGATTGTAGTCGGTCCATTAGAGAAAAAACGTAAATTACGTAAGCAGTGGCAACAAAATGTCTTGTCACTAAAAGTTGCCTTAACCGTGCAATCAAAGAATTGAAAATTCTGCTACAAAAGGAATGAAGGTATTCAACGTTATCTAAATAATTTGAATGCCTCCGAAACTTCAGATCACTCTTTATGGAAAGTCATCAAATAAAGGCATCCTCTAACCTTTAAAGGCATCTCCCCACATACATAAGAATGACAATACCTGGAACAGAAGCAAAGTTTTGAAGTACTGGAATAAAAAATCTAAAAACCCAAACAAGGAGCCCGGGTAAGATCTTATTACTGGGAGGCTGCTAAAAGAGCACAAAGGGTATTATTTATCTCACACAATTGTATAACGCCATACTTTGGAAGAGCTATTTTCCATCTCATTGAAAAGTAATCGAGGTTATTGTAAACCAAAAACTCGGTAAACCAGCGGAAGATGTGAAGTCATACTGTCCCATTAGTTACTACCTGTACTTTCTAAAGTGATGGAGAAATTGTTCCTGCTAAGATTTATGCCTATTATCGATCAGAGAAAACTTATATCAGACTACCAGTTCAGTTTCAGGAAAAAACATTATAGAACAAACGCATAGACTGGTGAACAAAATAAATGCATCATTCGAGAAAAACAATACTGTTCTGTCGTATTTATTAACGTATCCCAAGCCTTCGACAAGGTCTGGCATGGTGGTCTCTTATATAAAATTAAGTTAAATTTTCCTACCAATTACTATGAGAGCAAGTCAATAAATTTTTAGAAAAACATAGTAAAACACATTTTTTTTTGATTGATTCATTTTTATTTCTCAACATAATCTCCTTTCAGCTCGATCTAATGATTCTCCAACTTTTTCAAGCCGTCCGAATAATATGATTTGTCCAACCCTTCAAAATAAGCTTCTGTTTCGGTGGTGAGCTGCTCTCTGGTGAATCTCTTTCCTTCGAATCATTTTTTCAGGTTTGGAAACAGGAAATAGTCGCAGGGGGCTAAATCTGACGAATATGTTGAATGAGGAAACAATTCTTAGCGGAATTCGTTGAATTTGGTCATCAGTGCCAGACATGTGCATTATCTTGATGGAAGAGCACTTTCTTCTTCGCCAAATGAGAATGTTTTTTCTTTAAAATGTTGTTGCAATGGTCCAATAAGGCTGCGTAGTAATTGCCATTGATTTTTTGCTTCAATGGAAGGTAATTGATATGAATTATACCGCGTGCATCCCAAAAAACTGTGACCATCATCTTTCTGACCAACTTTACGGTCTTCGCCTTCTTCGAATGATGAAGTCCATTTTGACTTCGTTTCGGATGTGAAGTAATGAATCCATGTTTTGTCCATAGTATGAATCATCGATGCAGAAATTCATCTGGATTACATTGAAACATCTCCAAACATTGTTTTGAAATCATCACACCGTTGCGCTAATCCACAGTGACCAAACGCGGCTCCCATCTTGCCGATAGCTTTTTCATATCCAATTGTTCGTGCAAAATTGAAATCACTGTGCCATGTGATATGCCTGTGGCCTCAACAAGTTCGCGTACTTTCACTCGTCGATTACTCAAAACAATATCGGACTTTATCGATGATTTCTGGCGTACTACCCTCAATCGGATGTCTCGAACGAGGTGCATCACATGTGGATGTAGTACCACGTTTAAATTTATTCACCTAATTGTATACAGTCGCAAACGCTGGTGCAGATGAACATTATTGAACTCGACTTTGATTTCTTTTGGCGTTAAACCTTTCATATGCAGATGTTTGATCACTGCACGAAACTCGTTTTTTGTATTGCATTTTGCAAAAAATACAAATATTCATTTTAATCATCAAGAAATGAAACCACGTGATGAATTCCGCTCAAAATTTGACAGTCAGCTGAGAGATGCTACTTGTCAAAAAGTAATGTGACATGACACTGCAAGTGTCCTCTGACAGATTTTCTAAGAACTTATTGACTTGCCCTCGTATAATTTCCTCAGATTTTACCTAGATAAGAGACATATGTATGTTAAATATAAAGATGCTTCAACCGCTCTGCATGTAATTCAAGCTGAAGTTTCCCAAGGCAGTATACTGGGACCGGTCTTGTATCTATGACATATTGCGGATTTATTTACTTACCACAAATCTATAACTGGCACTTTTATAAATACTGCCGTTTTAGTGTCGCACGAGATCTCTAGGATGGCATCATACATCCTTCAGACAAGTTTATACAGAAGCTCAAGATTTGGCGCGTAAAAGTAAATGAGAGCAAGTCTACCCACGTTACTTTTACGAACAAGCAAGAAACATGCCCACTAATAACATCAAATGGAATACAAATACCTCAAGACCATGCTAAATACTTGGATCTCCATTTGGACCGTCGCAAATATATGTTTACGCCTTAAATTGGCGTAAACATATATTTGCTAAACATAAACAACTAGGTCTAAAACTGAGGAAAATGTTTTGGTTAATATGACATCCTCCAAACTTACCTCTCGAGTATAAACTACTTCTCTACAAGTCCATACTGAAACCGATTTGAATATATAGGGAAACATCTGCCCATTCCAATATCAAAATTTTACAGAGGTTTCAATCAAAATTCTAAAATTCTCCATATAATAATGATGCCTAGTTATTACCAACGAATACAACATGACTTATGCATGCCTGTTAAAGAAGAAATTAAATCCTACGCACAAAAACACGTTCGAGTGAAGTTGAACACTCGAACTCTTGCAAATCAGTTGTCAAGATCCAAAATCGTTAGAAGAAGATTAAAACGTAAAATGCCTCTAATAAATTAGTCTGATGAATACATAGAATCTTTATGTAATACATAGAATGACATAGAATTTTCAAAAATATGACTGGGTTAATGAATCCTATTCGTTCATGACTAATTTAATACATGCCTAACCTATGGTTAAATGTCATCCCTATAGATAAATCGCAATAAAAATATTATACAAAAAAAAAGTTTTTTGTGTGCCATGGCTGCGTTTCTTAACGCTCGCAATACTCGTGAGCATCATTTGTTTAATATTTTGATAAACGATAAAGATGAAATGATTTCACGAGCATTGTGAGTATTAAATGGAACGCAGTCTAAATCATATAATTAACAAAAACCTCTAAATTCATTAGAATGCGTACCTCATATCGGCTTGCTTATATAGAGGATGCGTCGAAGTGCTGGGCGGCGGTGGTGGTGGACTTTCATTACTAAATGTATCCTCAGGTGGCAAAGCCGGTCTCGTTGGCGGCACTTCTGTAGAGTGGCCATCTCCATTTTGCGCACGATTGACGTTGTCATTCTCATATTGATCGACGCGGTGTTCTAGATTACCATTCGGATAATGTGGATTATTCTGTGAACTCGCGAAATGTCGGTTCTGTTCGGCGTATGACTTTGCTTCTTGACTGCTCGAGTCTCTACCGAGTAGATTTTCATTAGGAATCGACTGATGGTCGCGCGCGATCATCTCGTTTTTCGATTTGGGTATCATCATCGGTCCGTATTGATTTACGATTACCGGATATCGGTTAGGATGATTGTATTGACTATACTGCGTGCTGTTATATTGAGCATATTGGGCATCTAGGTAATTATAACTAGGCGCGTTTTGTCTCGCCATGTAATTGGAGGTCGTTCCTAGATTCGACGTGGAACCGAGTGGCCTTGGTAAACGCAAGTTCGACACTTGCTGAGCAGGAGGAACCGCCATTCGAGTACTGATATTGTACATTGGTGGTTTATGTTGATTAAGTAGCGGTACGCCGCCACGCAATTCTCGTCGACGAACTTCCTCCTGCATCTCCTGCATTTTCGCCTCCTGGCGGATAATGTCGCGCGAAGACTGAGAACGTGGTGGTGGACCACCAGTTTGTTGCTGCATTTGATTGCTGACCGCCGAGTAGCTCTGTTGGCTTTGAGTAATGTAAGCGGATGTCGGACGGTCTCGGAAATGGCTGCCAACTTCCATAGTAGAGGGACGATTCAATGAGTTCTGTGAACCCTTTAATGAACCCTTTTGGATGTGCTGAGGATTTCTGCTAGACATAACAATTCATTTAGAAAATATTCAAAATAGAATAGTTAAAAAATCAATAAGATTACATTCTAAATTAATTTATAAACACATTTTTATTTTAAATGTCAAATAATGATTAAACGCTAAATGTATAAAAGAAATGCTTATATAAAAATAGGAAAATATAAGGTTAGATTATATATTTATACCTATCTTCTGACTGTTGTGGACTGATTTGTTGCTTCACCGTCGAGTCTTGGTTTCGATAAATACTCAAATTCTGATAAAATCGCTCTGCTTCTGTGCCTTGTACATTCGACGGTGTATTCATGTGCGACGTACTTGGATTTAAATTAGGTGACGATTGCTGCCTGCTGACCAAGCCAGTGGATAAAGTTCCGATTCTCATGGGATTCTCATGCAAGTTATGACTCGATCTATATACAAGAATATCTTATAAACATATCATTTCTCGTAATTTAATAGAAATTTTTAAATTCAATTCAATAACATTAGATAATACTGAATGAAATTAATATATAAAAAAAGGTAAATCAAATTTTTCTGATTTTAGATACTTTATACTTTTAAAAAAATTTATTATTCTTAAGAATTATCTCTAGTTTCTTTAGGACAGATTACATAAAATTTCATTTAGTGTCGAAAAAGCTAGGAGATATTTTAAAATGTGCATCAAAAGCAATTAAGTTAAAAATGCGATGATATATTTACCTGGAACGTAAAGAAGTTGCACTGTTAATCGTTGCCATAGGAGGTGGTTGAACAGGCGGTGTAACGCTGTTGCTGGAAGAAGCTCTGCTGTATCCGGGATTGAACACTTCATGCTGTTGCTTAGCCTCGGTACCCATATCTATATAAATCCCATCCATTTTTATCCATTTTTATGTATAAGCGAATAAATAATATATCCTTGCTTATCTTACTTAAATTAGAAGAGGTAGATGTTTCTGTTATATTTAATCTAATAAAATCCTGAAGCTGCACTGTGCAATTCGATAAGAGATAAATATTTCACCTATACTAATCTATCTAGTGATAGATAAAGCTGTGTGATTCGAGCATGACGTGCGCACATAAAGCTCGCTCTTACTTACTATGCAATGCCGGTACAGACTTGCTGCTATGGATTTGCTGAAGAGTGGCATCGTGTCCAAGCCGCGACGGTAAATCCCGCTCGCTCATGCGACGAGGACCTGTAGTAGCCCAAAGCGGGTACACAAAGAGATAGCTTTGAGTTAATGCATTGATGAACATGAAAGTGACGAAGCGCGACATTAAAAATTACTCATGCACATACGCAAAGCATTTGTTGAGAACAAAAACACTTTTTTTTGGGTTACCAAAGTTTAACTTTGACAAAGTGAAAGTGATGAAAAAAGAAAATGGCATACGGTCAACTGTAAGATCTTTATAACAATGACGAGCTACACTGAGCAAGTTTGTATATGCATTGTATATTGTTTCAACAAGACTATAAAAAAATAGTTTTCGTGATTAGATGTGTAATTAATAATTTCAATAATAGAAAAATATTGCATCGGATTTTACAAAGAAGGCATTGCACAATAAATATTAATTAACATTTAAACATATACGTTGCACGTTTACAATACGCAATTAGCTTGTTAATTAGAAAATATAAGAACATGTAATTATAAAATAAAAGGTATTTATTTTGTCACAATTATTATGTAGTTCATAATTGAATAATTGTATCTAATACAATATAAAACATTCTTTCTACGCCTAACTACCATTATGAGCACACAGGTGTATTGCTAAGCATATTATTTTAAATATAATATAGTAAAACAAAAGAAAGTATCTTGAAAAAAAATTGTATTAATATGTCATGCTTGCGTATAGCAAAATATATGTGTTATTATTATGAAAATAATTGTGTATTTCATAATTTGCAGGATGACACTTGCAATCCATTCCATAAATAATATGTTAATCGATATATAAAAAACTAATTAAATCGATTTCTTATCTCGATAAAATTTTCGATTTCTCTCAGTTTTGTTGTCAGAAAAAAAAATTTGCCATGTTCCTTAATACATGTGATAGAATAGAAACCATACTTACAGTGTTTTATTTTAAGTAATATGGTCGATTATCTCATGAATCGATGATTTTATTGAAAAATTTTTCGAACGAAAGTTGACTTGAAGAGAGATACATGATGGAAATGTGGACTTGACCTTGAGTGATCTTATCAAAATCAGGTCAAGGTCATTAATGTTTTTTAAATGGAAATCCTTATTTTTTATTACATATTCTTGTAGCTTATCACGAGAGCTTTCCAAAACATTATAATAAAATTTTTTCGTTAAGTACTTGTTAAGTTATAAAGATGAAGACTAAGGCCGATCTTGTTTTAATCAGCCAAATCAGTGATCGGTCTTGCCTTAGTTGATCAGATCAGTTCCGATCTTGCCTTAATCGGCCGGATCAGTGATCTTGCCTTATAACTTAAGGCAAGTACTTAATAAAAAATAACTTTATTATAATATTTTGGAAAGTATTCAAGATAAGCTATAAGAATATGTAATAAAAAATAGGAGTTTCTATTTAAAAAAATATTAATGACTTTGACCTGATTTTGATAAGGTCACTTAAGATCGAGTTCATATTTCCATCATGTGTCCCCCTTCGAGCCATGCAACTTTCGTTCGAAAAATTTTTCAATAAAATCATCGATTCGCGAGATAATCGACCATATCACTTAAAATAGAACACACTGTACATTGTTCTAAAAACTTCATTTTATAGCCTATTATTTATAATTTTATATAATTTTATATAATTTTATAATGATAATTTAGTCAGAGTTTTCAATTACACCGTTTCAACCATGCTATAAAATAACTGTGAAATAAAATGAAAATGATTTACATTGAAAAATCATTTGGTTTTGCTTTACCACGATTGCTTTATAAATAAGGAGCAAATATATGTAAATAAATCTAATAACCGTGCGACATCGATCCGTTTGCAAATGTAATTTTTTTATTCATCTCATTCAGACAAAATGAAAGTGCTTGAAGAAAAAAAAGTCCGACTATAAAAATGAACATTTAATGTATAACACGTAGTGGTAGCTTACGCAAAGCGGACCAGTCATCATCTTTCAGTGAGTTGATCTCGCGGAAACTCCAATTGTATCTCTCTGAATCAGACTTCCGTCTCGAAACGTCAAACTTGTTCTGAGATTTCCCTTCTATTCTTAATTTTTGTTGTTCCATGTCTTTCGTTTTTTCATGCGACAATTTAAGAGAATTATCTTTCAGTCGATCGTCGCTTATCCGCTTCATGCAAAGTCTCTTTTTCAGCATCCAGTTAAATCTCTGTACATCAGCAGATCGTTCTAAACTCGTATACTTGTCTTGCTCGTGCGATTCTCTCTTAGATTTCAATTCTTCAAGCGACAAATGACGATTCCAATGTATGTCTTCTTCGTCCTCGAAGTTTAATCGATCACCATAGAATTTGTCAAATTTTGTTTGGGTAGAGTGAATAGAAATAAAATTCATCGAATTGTCTCGCTTCCTCAATCCCTTTTTTGAATTAAATTCTTCAAGGGAACGATGATGATGCCATTGTACACTTCCCTTAGGATTTGAGATCAATGTATCGTAAAACTTGCAAGATGAATCTAGTTCTTTGTAGATATTTTCGGAGAATCGTGATCGATCATCAGAATCAGATAAAAATTTACTATTTAAAATACTTTCACAACTTCGTGTTAATTTAGAAAACTTGTCGTGAAGATTTATAGCTCTTTCTTTACCATAAATTGCAGCATCGATCAGATTACTTTCGCTATTACAAAGAGGTCTGGTAATTTGCATTCGCAGAACTGAACATTTATTATTACCTAATCGTGAATACATGTTTGTATGTGATATCAATGAGCTTTTCGAGGTGTCGTTGGAGCAATTCTTAGCGACAGAAATATCTATAAACAAGCATTTGGGATATTTTTCGCAATATTGATAAATCTGTGACTTGATATTTTTCGGGGGCTGACAACTTTTCGCAACGTTCGATAGCATGATGGAAGATAAAGGAGATCGAATGGAAGGCAAAGAAGAGGTTGACGAAGAATCAGAAGTTTTCTTAATTTTTTTAAAGTTATCATCTATATCGATCAACGACAATAATTTTTCTCGAGATGCTGCCTCTAATTGCTTTATTAAATTCAACTGAGTCAAATCATCAATAGCGGATGTTTCATTATTCTGATTTTTTTGAGAAATGGTAGAATCTTTTGACATGTCTTGCTCTGGTATAAATAAAGGCGCATCGGCGTTATCTAGATTTGAGAATTGCTCGAGTTGTTCTGCGATTACTCTCTGCTGCTCGAAGGAGAGTCTGGAACTACTATTTTTAATGTTATCTTTTCCAGTTAACATATTTTTTTTATTTCCATCTATAAAAATGGCGTGAGATTTGCTGTCATCGATTGCCATATCCTTCATCTCAACAAAAGTTATATCTTCTTTGATATTAAGAAACATCTCATCTTTGCTACTATTATGCGATATATTTTCAATTTTTATCAAAGCTATGTCTTTCTTAGAATCAAGTAAACTTTGATTTTCATCTTTGATAATATCTTTATCGTAATTTTCCTTTGCTTGGATTGTTTCCTCAGTCATAATTTGTTCGTTCATTGGAATCTTGGCAATTGTGACTTGTCTAGCGCCGCAATGATGAAACTTACATTTTTCAATCGCAAAATCGCCATCTGTTTCAACACCAACTAGAATGATATTGTGTTTCCCATCTGAACAGAGTCGAGAATTTTCATCTCTTTCTCTTACCAAGTTCGAATCAGATTTGTATTCTTTCTGCGCGTGATAAGAATGATGCAAATGTTCGTCGCTTTTATGTAACGTCATGATATTCGGTTCAGACACGAATTGACGGGAACCATTCAACTTGGTGGACTTAAACTTGATTAAACCGGCGTCGCCAAGTTTTGAAAAATGTTTCGCTAGCGCTGCGACTCTACCGCATCCTAAGCGCACTTCTTCCGGTGATTTCCAACACTTCTCCATTTTAGATTCGTCACTGGACATATCGTTGTTCAGTCCACTCAGATCGAGATGCAACTCTGGCATTATTGTGTACATTTTAGGAGTCGAGATTCTTTCCTCGGTATCTCTGTCGGTTCTTCTCGACGCACAATCATCATTAATCGTGGAACTAGATTCGTCAGCGCAATCTTCGGAATTGGATATATCCTCTAATTTGTCCTCGTATTGTTCATCAATATTCAATACACGTTTTGTGGAATCCATGTCAAAGAGATCATCTGATTTAGATTCTACAACGGAATCTGATCCAATTGTAGTGTTTTTGGTAAATAATATTGAGTTATTCGCAGGAAACGAGCTAATCAATGAAAAGTTTGGATTATTACGTGTATTTAACTTAAAACTAGATTCTAGAATGTTTAAAGTCTGCTGTCTATTACGCTCTACATTTGTGCATTTGTGAGAATTTTCAAGATTAAAGTTGTCACAGTCGGCGTTAATACAATTGCATTTATTATTTAAGTTTGTCTGAATGCATTTAGAGGATTCTGTGAAATTAATACCGTCGGTTTGATCAATGTAGGGTATATTATCGAAAAGATTTCTATCGACAGTCAGCGGTTCCGTTAACAGCGAATGTTTATAGTCCTTTGTAACTCCTGCATACTCTCGCAGTGGAGTGGTGATCCTTTCGAACAGATTTAAAGCATCTGTCGAATAATTTAAATTACTCGTGACTCCACCTTGTGCCGTGCTGTCATCTCCTTCCTCTATGATCTTATCGTCACTCTCATCACTTTCATTCTGATATATGACAGATGATACCTCATTGTCGCTCGTGATAGAAATCAAAGGACAAGATATACGAGGTCTCGAGAGACGCACGGGAGATACGATAGGGGTGGATGGACAATAAATGTGTTCTCCGTTGTCAACGGAATAGACATTGCGATATGCACCTCTCTGATGAAAGAGCGGATCTTGTCGCATGGAACGGTATTCATCGACGTCGATTTGTGGGAAACCTCGATTGATCTGATTATGGTAAAAGGGTGTCTCGAAAATGCATTGAGATGATATCGCACCTGGTTGAACTAACTCCTGACACGGCGCTTGCTTCGGAAAGGACAATAAATCACCCATTGAGTGTGACGTAGCTGGCTGATTGGTCGTCTCCGTTATCTCTACTGCTGACTCTAAGAGCTCGGACCTTGGCCGAGTCTTATATGCTGCATGAAACAAGTAGTTAGTTAAGCGTTAGTAAAGCGGGCTTTTTTGAAGCAAAGCGAAAAACATTATTCTGACAAAGCGATTACTTGGATTAAAAAATGTCCGCTGGTGATAAATCTAATCAGTATTTTGTAGCAAATAAGATCTTGTTGACACGTACATTTAAAGCAAGAAAGTGATGTGCTTGATCATTTAGAAAAGTTGTTTTATATATCATTAAATTAATCCAATTTATAATAAACAATTTTTATCAAGTGCATTATTTACATCATGTGTAATTTCATGATAAAATTTTGATACAATAACTTAATAATCCTCTCTTAGGCACAGTTTTACAACGCATTGTTAACTCTTAACCAAGATTTAACTTATTTATTCCTTATCTCTTTCTAATTCTAGAAATTAGAAAGAGATAAGAAATAAGTTGAACCTTAGTTAAGAATTAACCGTGAATTGTGAAACTGAGTCTTAATAATTATATTTGCATGGTAGAAAAAAAAGTAGAAAAACTAAACTGAACTTCTTGTAAGACATAAATCGCGAATACAGAATTATTTTCTTCACGCACTTTATCGATTGATAAGATTTTGATTATCTTTTTTCAAAGGCTAAATTAGTTGAAATTACAATATTAACCTTCGAATTTACCTCTTGACATCACCGGAGAAGGTTGAGATAATAACGTTGCAAGTCCGTGATATATAGCGCCCTGTTTCGCAACTTCCAATGTCACGATCGGACCGGTACGTACAAGATACTCAGCAGCTCTGCGAATAAATTATAATGATATAATATTTTAAACTATTAAGAAATTTAAGTTAAAATTACATATGTAATTATTATGTAATTAATTTTTCTTATTATGTAATTAATTATGTTTTTCATACTTTTCCTGTGTTATTCCGACCAGACTTTGTCCATCTACCTTGAGTAGTTGATCACCTGCCGTCAATCTACCGTCCTAAAAATAAATACATAAAAATAATTAATTGACTAATATGAAAATTTGTTTTCAGAATTCATAAAAACTTAATCAGAATTACTTTAATGTGTGCGCGCGCGTGTGTGCATAAGTTTTGATTTCATTTAATAATCAGGATTTTTAAAATTTTATTTATTGTTAAATTATGTCTCGTTTTTTTTTAATTTTAAAAAAAGTTTTAGTTCATCTAACTATATTTAATGCAATGTAATACATTTAATTTAAAAGCGTATGATTAAAAACTTGGCGCATCCTAAAAATTATTATGTATAAAATATTATTTAATAATAATTAAATGCAATATACATTAAATATTATCATTTTAAACATGATTTTAATATCGTAAGAAATATGAAATGTTTCCAAATAAATGGTAATTACTTACAGCATCTGCGGCACCACCAGCAACAACACTTTTGATGTAGATACCTAATCGATCCTGTCCTGCACCCTAAGTGTTAAAATAATAGGTTTAATATCCTTCCATTATAATAAATAAGTATGCGTAGCTAAGAATGCACACCTTTGCTGCAACGATGCTTAAGCCCATACCGTTGGTACTCTTGTGTAATTTAATAACATGTATCTCAGGTTGAGCTTGGTTTTGATTTAAGTGACTGATATAGCCACCAGATCTATTACTCATTGCGCTAGGACTACGCAACTGCAAAAAATTAAAAAAAAATGACATATAAAAATATTCTTGTACAATTATTAAAATGTACAAATTATTAAATTAGAAAGATACACACATATAAAAACGAATTATAAATGCTATAATTTGCTTACTAATTAATTTTCGTATTAAAAGCAAAGATTTTCATGTAAAAATTTGTTTACATTGTTGTGATGATCTATCATGTAAATGGTCCAATAACCACTACTAGTAGGTTGGGCTGCCATTCGACATAATCCGTCTCGTTGCAGAGGTGCCAGAAATTCCGCTAATCCTGGTGGAACACCTCTTATTACCTCGCAACTGTAGCCATCCTCGGGAAGTAACAATGCTAACCCTAGGACAGGTTCCTCTTCTAGTCTTATTTCACGGCCATCTGCACGCGCAAGTGTATCTGCGACACTCTCTGCTACCTATGATACATCGATTGTATAAAGAACATGAAATGATATTATTTTGATAAGATATATATATATATATATATATATATA